TGTCATCATCACCGCAACCACCATCATCATCCAGTTCATCATCATCATTACCATGGCCACTATTACCACCAGAGTCGTCATCCTCATCATCATCACCGTCATCATCATTACCATCACCGTCGTCATCACCATTATCATCATCGTCATCATCATTATCACCCACGTTTTCATCCAATCATGCCCATCCGGCACCAGCGGTAAGTTAGGCCATCAAGTTACAATTATCATCATCACCGCCATCACCATCGTCATCATCAACTTCATCAGCATCATCATTTTCATTACCATGGCCATCATTTCACCATAGTCGCCCTCATCATCATCATCATCGTCATCATCATCACCATTACCATCATCATCGTCATCATCATTATCATCATCATCGTCATCATCATCAGCATTACCATCATCATCGTCATCATCATTATCATCATCGTCATCATTCTTATCATTTTCGTCCTGGTCTTTATTTACATCATCCCCATCATCATCATCATGACCTCGAAGTGAACGTGCGATATGGCCACCACTGCGTTGCTACTGGGTCCGAACGGGGCGGGGGCGGAGGAGGACCATGATGACCATGAGAAGTTACTGTCGGGAACAGTCCTCCCAGTAGCAACACAGGGCTCCTCCTCCTCCCTCTCCCCCTCCTCGTCTTCATCGTCGTCGGCGGGGTCGGCAGCACCGGCCGTGAGATAAGGCGCCAATATACACTCATCATTATCACCGCCACCATTATCATCATCATCGCCAGCCTCATCTTCATCACATCGCCATCATCAGCATCATCCTCATCATCAATACCACCATCATCATCGCTATCATCATGATACTCATCGTCATTACAATCATCATCATTCATACCATGACCATCATCACCATCACCGCCATGACCGTCATCATAACCGTCATCATCTTCACTATTTCAAACCAATCCCAGGCGCCACAGTTGCTTGCATCGGGGCCCTCCTCCTGCAGTGACCGCAACGAGATCAACCTTTCGGCCGTCCTCGCCGCTGCTCGACGATAGCGTTGCAGTGCCTCCTCCTCCGCAGCCTCCTCCCGCATCCTCCTTCTCCTCTTCCTCCTCCTCCTCCTAATTTCCCCCATCCTTCCCATACTCATCCTCTTCTCCTTCCTACTCATCCTCCCCCCTCTCCTCCTCCTCATCCTCCTCCTCTCCTCCTCCTCCTCTCCTCCTACTCCTTTCCTCCTCCTCCTCCTCCTTCCTCCTATTCCTCCCTCCTCCTCCTCCTCCTCTACTCTCTCTCCTCCTCCTCCTATCCTCCCCCTCCTTCCCTCCTCCTCCTCCTCCTCCTCCTCCTCCTCCCTCCTCCCTTCATCTCCTCCTCCTCCTCTTCCTCCTCCTCCTCCTCTTCCTCCTCCTCTCCTCCCCCACATCCCTCCCATGTCTAGTACTCTATATCATTCTCTTCCTGCCTCCTCCTCCGTCCTCGGTGTCCTCCCACACCTCCTCGGGTGACAGCGCCCGCTGTGTTGCTATTGGGTCGGGCCGCGGTCCTCGCAGCTGCGCGCCGCTGGCGTTGCAGCCCCTCCTCCTCCTCCCACCTCCTCCTCCCGCCTCCTCCCGCTTCCCCCTCCTCCCCCCCCTCCTCCTCCACCGCCCCTCCTCTGAGAGGAGGGGGGAGAGTCTCCCCCCCTCCTGCTCATATATCCCCCCTCCCCTTCTCTTCGCACTACCCAGTTTCATCCTCTCCCTGTCTCCTCCTCTGTCCTCGGCAATGCAAACCCAACGCAATGCCCTGCAATGCGACGCCACACAACGCAAAGCAACGCAGCGCACGACATCTAGCACCGCATATGCTACGCGCGTTGCTGCTGCCTCGGCACCATTCTTTTTCTCAAATGCGATGCGTTCTGCAGCGTTGCGATAACGCGCCCAGTCCACGCGTTGAATATACATGCGCGGCAACCCAAACCGCGCCACTAAGGCAGCATGGCGTTGGGGCGTTCGCTGGCCATGGCCCCCGCCTGCTGGCCGATTGGCGCTGCAGACGGTCACGCGCCGCAGCGCGGGCACGTCTTGATGCTCGGCAATTGCTTCGGATTGCACACTACGCAGAACCGCTTGATATGCCGGCAGGATCCCTGTCCGTACCGCAGCGTGGCGTAGCCGCACCGCCCGCACTTAAGCAGGCGGCCGCTGCCCGCAGGAATCCTGGACACCAGCTGATCAGGTGTCTGGGATGTCCTCGCTGGGCCGCTGGGATGCACGATGCCATGCTCCTTGTCTGGGCGGCCGCGCTCCTTGCAGTACGCGCAGACCCGACCGTGTGCAGCGCCCGCAAGTTCGAGGCTCTTGTACGCGAGTCAGTCCTCGCCGCAGCTGCGGCACCGCCTCATGTAGCAGGTCTCGTAATAGTTCGACCACGCCACTGCGACCTTCGCGGCGTGTCCGCCGCGCGCAGCACGGGGCGCCATCGGTGCCCCGTCAGGCTCGTCGTCGGCGGGGCCCTCGTCCACGGCCTGGTATTGCTTGCCCGTGCCGAGACACAGTCTCATTGGAATTTCTTCCCACTTACCAGAATGCGACAGTTTTTCACACGCCTCCCGAACATTGTCCGTGCCGACGCTGGCATGCAGCTGATCGAGGAGCTTGCCCTTATCTGGGAGCGGGAGCATGCTGAACGTCACCGACGCGTTTCGCCGCAGCGACTCTGGCTTGAGCGCCCACAAGTGCACGCGGGCGTTCCAATACAAATTATAAGGGTCATCGCCCTTAGATGTCTGATGGGTCTGCAACTTGGGAGTTCGTGTCTCGTTGAAGCCTGTCACTATCTTCTCTTCTAGCTCTTTGTACTGAGGGAACGTTGACGGAGGGTGCTGGTAGCAATACACCAGCGTGTCCCTCATGCCCGAGAACGAGTCGTAACAGGAACGCACGCTGGACTCGTCGTACTTCAACATCTCGTACCGTCCCCCGGCCATGCCAAGAGTCAGGATGGTTGCGCTGGAATCCCATGGCTTCTTCTTCTTGCCCAAGGCGCGCAGAACGTGAACAAGCTGCAAGTTTATGAGGTGCCCGTGCACTTTGAGAGGGCCTCCGATGGACCGAATCTCTTGCTTAATATCCAGTCCTGGGAGCGCCGGCGCCATGGGCCGATTTGCTTTCCAGAATTTCACCATGTCGTCTCCTGCCTTGATGTTTTCCCAGAAACGTACGAACAGATCTCTTGGAGTCGGCAACTTCAAAGCCACAACGTATGTAATCAAGCCCTCGTTGCCTCGGAATGCTCGGCGCCAATGTTCATAATTGTTTTGGGCGTGTTGCAAATCAGTCGGTAGTGTCCTGGTTGTTTTCTTGAGCGCGCCCCGCCAGTACGAAACCGGTTTGATGGTGCGCCTCTTCGGCTTCGTGCCAGAAGTCTTCCCCATGCCGTCGCTGTGGAGTATGATCCTCGGCCTAGTCAAGGCCACGAACAGCAGGGCGATAAACCTCAGTAAGAATGGCTTGAGCCCGAGGCTACGGAAGGGGATGGCGGTGAGAACGGCGACAGGCTGCGCATGGCCAAGTTCATAATTCCGCTCAGCTCCCCCCGTCTGCCGAGGGTAGCGTAGCGCACAGTCAAAACGTATCATAAGGGCGCGCGGTAAGGACGCAAGACCCTTGGAGGCCGAAGTTGGGGCATTTGGGGCGCGTGTCCTTACCGTGCGGTAAGGGCGCGCGGTGAAGACGCAAGGGGTCCAAGGGTGCCCTAGGAAAAGGCGCGCGTCCTTACCATGCGCGTTGACTGTATCCGATGTTTGGCTCCCCCCCTGTGTTGCTACTGGGTCGGTAGGCTGTTCCTGAGTGCAACTTCTCATTGTCATCATGGTTTTCCTCATCCCTCCTCCGCCTCTTCTGGGCCCCGTAGCAACGCAGTGGTGGCCATGTCGCACTATCTGTCAGGCAGCCCAGCACCTCCGAGGGCATCGCGGCGACGGCGACGGCGACGGCGGCGCCGACGACGACGGCGGAGGCCCCACGCAAGCAACTGTGGTACTCGGGGCGGGGATGGCGACGGCAACGACGACGAGGACAACGTCGACGACGATGAGAGGCAGGGCGTTCCCTTGGAAGGCCGCCGATCGGAGCGACGCGGCAGGCAAGAGTGTCGGCATCGTCGTTGCCTGTGGACCCTAACTATTGCTTCGCAAGGAGCGACGCCTGCCTCCGAATACGGAGCACCAGACTCCGCCAGGCCGCCTCGAATCCGTTGGCTGCCCTTTGTCTTGAATATCGGCCGTCGCGGCGTCCGACGCTCTTGGGCGCGCCCACTGCGCTGCTACTGGGTCCGAAAAAGGCGGGGGAGGGGGAGGAGGAGGAGGAGGGGGATGACCACGAGAAGTTGCTGTCGGGAACAGTCCTCCGACCCAGTAGCAACACAGGGGGGCGCAGCGACAGGAGCGAACGCAATTGCAACACAGCGAGGCGTGAGACCTCGAAGTAAAAATGCGATATGGCCACCGCTGTGTTGCTACTGGGCCCGAGAGAGGCGGGGGAGGAGGAGGGCCATGATGACCATGAAAAGTTGCCGTCGGGAACATCCCTCCGACCCAGTGGCAACACAGGGGGGGCGCAGCGACGCGAGCGAACGCAATTGCAACGCAGCGAGGCGTGAGACCTCGAAGTAAAAGTGCGATACGGCCACCACTGCGTTGCTACGGGGCCCAGAAGAGGCGGAGGAGGGATGAGGAAAACCACGATGACAATGAGAAGTTGCACTCAGGAACAGCCCACCGACCCAGTAGCAACGCAGGGGGGGGGGGGCAAACATCGGATACAGTCAGCGCGCATGGTAAGGGCGCGCGCCTTTTCCTAGGGCACCCTTGGACCCCTTGCGTCTTCACCGCGCGCCCTTACCGCATGGTAAGGACACGCGCCCCACATGCCCCAACTTCGGCCTCCAAGGGTCTTGCGTCCTTACCGCGCGTCCTTATGATACGTTTTGACTGTGCGCTACGCCGCCCTCGGCAGACGGGGGGAGCTGGGCGGAATTATGAACTTGGCCATGCGCAGCCTGTCGCCGTTCTCACCGCCATCCCCTTCCGTAGCCTCGGGCTCAAACCATTCTTACTGAGGTTTATCGCCCTGCTGTTCGTGGCCTTGACTAGGCCGAGGATCATACTCCACAGCGACGGCATGGGGAAGACTTGTGGCACGAAGCCGAAGAGGCGCACCATCGAACCGGTTTCGCACTGGCGGGGCGCGCTCAAGAAAACAACCAGGACACTACCGATTGATTTGCAACACGCCCAAAACAACTATGAACATTGGCGCCGAGCATTCCGAGGCAGCGAGGGCTTGATTACATACGTTGTGGCTTTGAAGTTGCCGACTCCAAGAGATCTGTTCGTACGTTTCTGGGAAAACAGCAAGGCAGGAGACGACATGGTGAAATTCTGAAAAGCAAATCGGCCCATGGCGCTGGCGCTCCCAGGACTGGATATTAAGCGAGAGATTCGGTCCATCGGAGGCCCGTTCAAAGTGCACGGGCACCTCATAAACTTGCAGCTTGTTCACGTTCTGCGCGCCTTGGGCAAGAAGAAGAAGCCATGGGATTCCAGCGCAACCATCCTGACTCTTGGCATGGCCGAAGAACGGTACGAGATGTTGAAGTACGACGAGTCCAGCGTGCGTTCCTGTTACGACTCGTTCTCGGGCATGAGGGACACGCTGGTGCATTGCTACCAGCACCCTCCGTCAACGTTCCCTCAGTACAAAGAGCTAGAAGAGAATATAGTGACAGGCTTCAGCGAGAACCGAACTCCCAAGTTGCAGACCCATCGGACATCTAAGGGCGATGACCCTTATAATGGGTATTGGAACGCCCGCGTGCACTTGTGGGCGCTCAAGCCAGAGTCGCTGCGGCGAAACGCGTCGGTGACGTTCAGCATGCTCCCGCTCCCAGATAAGGGCAAGCTCCTCGATCAGCTGCATGCCAGCGTCGGCACGGACAATGTTCGGGAGGCGTGTGAAAAAAAACTGTCGTATTCTGGTAAGCGGGAAGAAATTCCAATGAGACTGTGTCTCGGCACGGGCAAGCAATACCAGGCCGTGGACGAGGGCCCCGCCGACGACGAGCCTGACGGGACACCGATGGCGCCCCGTGCTGCGCGCGGCGGACACGCCGCGAAGGTCGCAGTGGCGTGGTCGAACTATGACGAGACCTGCTACATGAGGCGGTGCCGTAGCTGCGGCGAGGACGGACTCGCGTACAAGAGCCTCGAACTTGCGGGCGCTGCAGACGGTCGGGTCTGCGCGTACTGCAAGGAGTACGGCCGCCCAGACAAGGAGCATGGCATCGTGCATCCCAGCAGCCCGGCGAGGACATCCCAGACACCTGATCAGCTGGTGTCCAGGATTCCTGCGGGCAGCGGCCGCCTGCTTAAGTGCGGGCGGTGCGGCTACGCCACGCTGCGGTGCGGACAGGGATCCTGCCGGCATATCAAGCGGTTTTGCGTAGTGTGCAATTCGAAGCAATTGCCGAGCATCAAGACGTGCCCGTGCTGCGGCGCGTGACCGTCTGCAGCGCCAATCGGCCAGCAGGCGGGGGCCATGGCCAGCGAACGTCCCAACGCCATGCTGCCTTGGTGGCGCGGTTTGGGTTGCCGCGCATGGATATTCAACGCATGGACTGGGCACGTTATCGCAGCGCTGCAGAACGCATCGCATTTGAGAAAAAGAACGGTGCCGAGGCAGCAGCAACGCGTGTAGTATATGCGGTGCTAGATGTCGTGTGCTGCGTTGCTTTGCGTTGTGTGGCGTCGTATTGCATGGCGTTGCGTTGGGTTTGCATTGCCGAGGACAGATGAGGAGACAGGGAGAGGATGAAACTGGGTAGTGCGAAGAGAAGGGGGAGGGGGATATTTGAGCAGGAGGGGGGGAGACTCTCCCCCCTCCTCTCAGAGGAGGGGCGGTGGAGGAGGAGGAGGAGGAGGAAGCGGGGGGAGGCGGGGGGAGGAGGTGGGAGGAGGAGGAGGGACTGCAACGCCAGCGGCGTGCAGCTGCGAGGACCGCGGCCCGACCCAGTAGCAACACAGCGGGCGCTGTCACCCGAGGAGGTGTGGGAGGGCGCCGAAGACGGAGGAGGAGGCAGGAAGATAATGATATAGAGTACTAGACATGGGAGGGATGTGGGGGAGGAAAGGAGGAGGAGGAGGAGGAGGAGGAGGAGGAGGAGGAGGAGGAGGAGGAGGAGGAGGAGGAGGAGGGAGGGGGAGGAGGAGGAGGAGGAGGAGGAGGAGGAGGAGGATGGAGGAGGAGGAGGGGGAGGGGAGGATGGGGAGGAGGAGGAGGAGGAGGAAGAGGAGAAGGAGGATGCGGGAGGAGGCGGCGGAGGAGGAGGCACTGCAACGCTATCGTCGAGCAGCGGCGAGGACGGCCGAAAGGTTGATCTCGTTGCGGTCACTGCAGGAGGAGGGCCCCGATGCAAGCAACTGTGGCACCTGGGATTGGTTTGTAATAGTGAAGATGATGACGGTTATGATGACGGTCATGGCGGTGATGGTGATGATGGTCATGGTATGAATGATGATGATGGTAATGACGATGAGTATCATGATGATAGCGATGATGATGGTGGTATTGATGATAAGGATGATGCTGATGATGGCGATGATGATGAAGATGAGGCTGGCGATGATGATGATAATGGTGGCGGTGATAATGATGAGTGTATATTGGCGCCTTATCTTACGGCCGGTGCTGCCGACCCCGCCGACGACGATGAAGACGAGGAGGGGGAGAAGGAGGAGGAGGAGCCCTGTGTTGCTACTGGGTCGGAGGACTGTTCCCGACAGTAACTTCTCATGGTCATCATGATCCTCCTCCGCCCCCGCCCCTTTCGGACCCAGTAGCAACGCAGTGGTGGCCATATCGCACGTTCACTTCGAGGTCATGATGATGATGATGGGGATGATGTTAATCAGAGCGTGAATTACCTCCCCCGCTTTCGCTTCCAGGCAAAACCAAGCCATACCACGCGCCTCCTCGTCAAGCAGCCTGACCAGTACAGGCCGCAATTTGGCATCGTTTGGTATCTCTTGGAAGCGAGGGTGGTCAAAAGCGAGGTAGGTTTGTTTTCCCCCGAGTTAATAAAGACCAGGACGAGAATGATGATAATGATGACGATGATGATAGAGATGATGACGATGATGATGGTAATGCTGATGATGACGATGATGATAATGATGATGACGATGATGATGGTAATGGTGATGATGATGACGATGATGATGATGATGATGATGATGATGAGGGCGACTATGGTGAAATGATGGCCATGGTAATGAAAATGATGATGCTGATGAAGTTGATGATGACGATGGTGATGGCGGTGATGATGATAATTGTAATTTGATGGCCTAACTTACCGCCGGTGCCGGATGGGCATGATTTGATGAAAACGTGGGTGATAATGATGATGACGATGATGATAATGATGATGATGACGACGGTGATGGTAATGATGATGACGGTGATGATGATGAGGATGACGACTCTGGTGGTAATAGTGGCCATGGTAATGATGATGATGAACTTGATGATGATGGTGGTGGTGGCGGTGATGATGACACGTGTAATGTGGCTGCGTTGCCATTGCGTTCGCTCGTGTCGCTGCGCCCCCCTGTGTTGCTACTGGGTCGGAGGACTGTTCCCGACAGCAACTTCTCTTGGCCATCATGATCTTCCTCCTCCGCCCCCGCCTCTTTCGGACCCAGTAGCAACGCAGTGGTGGCCATATCGCACTTTCAGTTCGAGGTAATAATGATGATGGGTATGCTTTTGATGAAGCCGAGGATGATGATGATGACGATGATGATGACGGTGATGATAGTAATGATGATGATGATGAGGAGGATGACGACTATGGTGGTAATGATGGCCATGGTACTGATGATGATGATGATGAATTTGATGATGATGATGGTGATGGCGGTGGCAAAGATGAGTGTAACTTAATGGCCTAACTTGCGGCCAGTGGCCAGATGGGGATGATGTTGATGAAGACGTGGGTGATAATGATGATGCTGACGATGATGACAATGATGATGACGATGATGATGGTAATGGTGATGATGACGATGACGATGAGGATGACGACTATGGTGGTAACGATGGCCATGGTAATGATGATGATGAATTGCGATGGCGATGATGACGATGGTGACGGCGGTGATGATGATAAGTGTAATGTGGCTGCGTTGCAATTGCGTTCGCTCGTGTCGCTGCGCCCCCCTTGTGTTGCTACTGGGTCGGAGGACTGTTCCCGACAGCAACTTCTCATGGTCATCATGATCCTCCTCCGCCCCCGCCTCTTTCGGACCCAGTAGCAACACAGTGGTGGCCATATCACACTTTCAATTCGAGGTCACAATGATGATGATGATGGTGATGCTTTTGATGAAGACGACGATGATGATGATGACGATGATGATGATGACGGTGATGATGGTAATGATGATGATGACGATGATGCTGAGGATGGCGACTATGGTGGTAGTGATGGACATGGTAATGATGATGATGATGATGGTGAATTTGCTGATGGTGATGGTGGTGGCTGTGATGATGATAAGTGTAATGTGATGGCCTACTGGCCTTTTGGGTGCTCACTCGACCCCCCGTCTTTCAAGCTACAGGTGCAACCTAGGCGGCGCAATCTACATGGTGCAGGGTATGTGGTGCAACGTACATGGTGCAGAGTATGTGGTGCAAGCGGCGCCGTGCATGAGTCGCAACCTATGCGTGGCAAGCTATGTGGCGCAACTTATGCCCATCAATGACACGAAATTCAAGATAAGCGATCGCTTGCGTGCTTCTGTTCAAAGACGTGTGGCTCAAGCTGTTTGGCTGTATCGTTGGATTGCTGGTGGTTGCCCGACGAGGCTCGCGCCCGCTCGACCCGCGATGCCGTTGCTCATCGACGAGGCCATGGGCACCTTGAAGGACAAGGACATGACCTACTCGGAGTTGGACGCGGCCGCCGTGTCCAGCAAGGCGGCGGGGGACATTGGCGGGCCCATCGACGTCGGCACTTTTACCCGCGGTGCTCTGCGGAAGCTGGGCGAGGCGAGGGTGACCAGGTCTCTCTTCGACGTCGTGGAAGAGTTTCCGATGCCAGAGAATCGGGACCAGGTCATGGAGCAGATCGCGGGGCAGACGTACACCGACGTGCCGCCTGCTCTTCGCCCAGGCGCTGAGCTCCCCGAAGGCGCCAAATACTCCGTTGTCGGTGGCAACGGCAACGGCGCCGCCGTCGCCGTCAAGATCTACGCGTTCCAGAACCAAGCGCCCTTGAAGACCGCACAGGAGCTCGTGATCGGGACTGGGCATGCTCCAATAGCGAGAAAAGGCCCATGGCTCCACAAGAAAACCCTGCAGTGGTTGCTTGATCGCATCCCTGGCCACCGCGTCGATTGGGCAAGCGCGGAGGAGAAGCAACGGGCGAAACCGACAGACGGCGGAAAGAAGAGATGGGAGGCCACGGACGAGGCGCTCGAAGAGGGCACTGACTTCATCAACAAGCACGCGCCCGCCGTGAACGACATGAACCAGCAGTGGCTCTTCATTGAGAAGAACATCAAGCCGAGCAGCGGGTCCAAGATTGCGGGGGGGCCGTGGGCTAAAGTTGCTAACGCAGTGCACAACCGAGCGAAGGCAGCAACGGGGTGCGCCAAGGTTGAGCGCTCGTTCCCCCTGTGCGTGTTCGACTTGCACCCGCTGTGGCCAGAAGTGTTGCTTCCGTGCATCTCCCCGCTCCTATCGCAGTTTGGGCTCCTCTTCTTTGGCTTGCCTGGCATCGGCAAGACGCCCACTTTCATCGTGCTCGCCATGGCCATGGGCCGCTACACTGCGGCGCGCTCGGGCGGTAATCTACTCCCTGGATGGCGCCGCAGCAAGTCGATGGACGGCTTAAAGTCCAGCCAGGGGACAGCGTCCGAGGGCACTCTCCTCGACGACCCTGGCATGTGGCATCTCTCGATCGATGACCTGAAGTCCTTCTTCGACGCCGCAGAGGACACCTTCGCCAGGGCCAGGTACAACGACGCCAAGTTCGTGAAGAACTCAGTGCGGTGCTTGGCGGAGAATGAGTTCGGTGAGAAGGACGAACCGCCCGCGGATGACCGAACCATTATCACCGCGGCCGAGGCTGAGAAGCTGTTCATGAAGCCGTTCTCGGGGTGGAAGCAGGCGCATGTCCTCGCGGTGCTCAAGCGCACCGTCGCGTGCGTCGCTGGTCGCCACTCCATGTACCTTCGCTTTCCCAGCAGCGACCCCGACGCGGTGGTCCACCGCATCAGCTTCGACAACATCGAGAAGGACTGGTTGCGCGGCAAGCAGTACTGGGCCAATGACAACAAGAAGTACTACAACCTCTACAAGCAGGGCATGGAGGTGTTCCACGACAACTTCGACGAGCAGTAGCAGAGGGAGCAGGACTTGATCGACCGTGCCGCGACCGCGCGCGGGGACAAGCTGGCCGACGCCTACATCGCCGAGTGCAACGAGTCCTTGCAGGCCAAGCTGCTCTCCGTCATGGAGTTGTCCTCCAGGCTGAGCGCGGCGCCGCCGCGCCCCGAGGCCGAGGCCAGCGACGGGGCCTCCATGCTCAGCGTGGCGCCGCCTAGCCCCGAGGCCGAGGCCAGCGGCGGGGCGATCGCTCTCCGCGTGCGCCCAGATGGAGACGGGAGTTACGTGTTCCCGACGGGGCCGCCGGCACCGCGCACCAGCACCAAGCGCAGCCGGTGCCGCATCGACGGCGTGGGGGCGATGGAGGTGCGTCCGAGGGGCTCCCCGCCGTCGCTTGTCGAGGGCCAGCCCGACATCCTGGCCGCGGAGCTGGGGGCGATGCTCGAGGCCGAGGGCTTGGCCACGCAGCCTGGCGTCGAGGCAAGCCCGCAGGCGTTGTCGCCGAGTCCTCCGCTCCTCCCACCAGTAGGCATGGGGGAGGAGGATTGAGCAGCCATTGCATGAGAGCTCGGAGCGCGCCGCGGCCTGGGCCCCGCCGCGCGCCCGCGCGCAATCTACCTTCGAGATGCCCCGCTACTGGCCCATGCCAAGCTGACGACCAGGCGAGCAATGAAGTCATGGGGGGGAGGGCGATTGTCGGCACGTGGCATTGGCTGGTGGCGAGGGCGGGCTCGGACATCTAGCGCATGACTTCGCAGCGGTGGTCGGGGCTAACCGCTCTCCGTCAGCGCGAGGGCTTTGTGGTCGCTCACGGGCCTGGCATCCTAGAGCTTTCTCGCAGGATGTACGTTCGGGGGCGAGGATCGGGGTCGCCTGGGTAGAATGAGAAACAAAATGCACATAGGCTCCGCCGAGTCCGCCTACGCAGTGGTCGCTGTGACCAGCAGCAGCACAGCGACACGAGCGAACGCAAGAGCAACGCAGTGAGGCGTGAGACCTCGAACTGAAAGTGCGATATGGCCACCGCTGTGTTGCTACTGGGTCCGAGAGAGGCGGGGGAGGAGGAGGGTCATGATGACCATGAAAAGTTGCCGTCGGGAACAGCCCTCCGACCCAGTAGCAACACAGGGGGGGCGCAGCGACGCGAGCGAACGCAATTGCAACTCAGCGAGGCGTGATACCTCGAAGTAAAAGTGCGATATGACCACCACTGCGTTGCTACTGCGAGTCGCGAGATCACCAGGAGCGTTCGAGGCACAACCAAATCACACGTTTATGTTGTGGCCGCCCGCGCCTGCCCGAGGCATCTGGCGATTTCTTCGGCTCGAGCGCGCTGCGCTTGCCATCTCTGCAGGCGCCGCGGCCGCGCGGCGGCGGGGGCGCCCTTGGCCATGGCGCCGAGTAAGCGCCATCGCTGCAGCTGCTGCGGCGAGTCGGGGCACACCGTGGCGACGTGCCCGAGCCCTGGCGCTGCTGCCATCAAGAGTCTGAAGGCGAAGATCAGCCGCTTGGAGAAGACCAGCGCCAAGCCGAGGACGGGCCAGCTGAGGGCGAGCCAGCCGAAGTCGTTCAAGAAACTGCGGCGCCAGCGCTCCAAGCTGCACTCGGCTGGCCACAGCGAGAAGCGCGCCATCGCGTTGCAGGCCTGTTCGCGCGGGGCCGAAGGCTCGGTTGCAGCCCGCGAGGAGCTGGTCCAAGCGGGCTTCCTCGCTCGGGCACCTCTTCGCTGCCCGACATGCGCGAAGGGATACCTTTCGGACGCCCCGTGCAGTCGGGCCAGGGGCGGTGCCACCAACAAGGACTTGCTCTACTTCCGCTGCAAAGATTGGGGGTGACACTGCTACCACAGCGTCATGAAGTTCTCGAAGATCCCGTACAAGCTGATCGGGCAATTGAGCTGCGTCCAGCTGAGGTCGCTCCTCGAATCCTATACGGGCGCGGCGGGCCAGGGCAGCGCCAGCGCGCGGAAAGCTGCCAAGTCGGCATACTGCGGGTACAACGTCGCGTACCGCCTGTACAGGTATCTGCGCGGCTTGGAGGCGGACGCAGGGGGCAAGGAGAACGAGTCGATGCAGCTCGGCGGGGAGATCGAGCCCATCCGCGACATCGAGGGCGACGGCACGCTGGTCAGGAAGATCAGGGTGAGCAGCAAGAGCACGACGTGGCGGACCGAGATCGCAGAGGCGAAGAAGAGGACGATCGCATACCTGAGGCTGAAGGCATGCAGGGCGAAGAAGCGGTCCTGCAAGCTCGTGGAGCCCAAACACTACATGGTCCACGTCCGCTACGTGGGGCTTTGTGAGCGAGGTGGCAGGGTGACCGTTGCCCCACTTCCTGTCCGCGTGGTGCCGCCTGGCACGGCGCAGCCGCCCGAGGCGCAGGACGAGGTTCTCAAGTCGGGCATCATGAACAGACTGGTGAGGAAGAAGAAGGTGTTCCTCTTCTCCGACGGCGCACTGGCCTGGCCCAAGATCGTCGAGCAGCAGAACAAGGCAGGCCGCAACATCGCGCTGTCGGCGGTGGTGCACCAGAAGCGGCAGTACACGAAGCTCATCGCCAAAAAGAAGAGGGGGCAGTCCCGCCTGGCTGGCACGCAGGCAATGGACTCACGGTGGAAGTACATGAAGTCGTACATTCCGCGGACCCTGAAGGCCGCCAAGGGTCGCGCCGTGAACCCTGAGCTGCGCACATACACCATGTCGTGGCAGTGGAGGCAGAACTTGGCATGCACGGGCGCCGCGCTGTAGGAGAGCGTGGCCAGCCTGGTGGGGGCGTCGTAGCTGTGCGCAGGCCAACTTTAGACCGAGCGCCGCCTAGAGCTTCGGAGCTAGTTGTGCTGCGCGGGCGGGCTCGCCGCTACACGGGGCGGTAGCGGGGGTGGCGCGCGCGCCCCGCGCAGCATCGCTGGGCATTGAATTTGGACCGTTCGTGGCATAGCAGCACGCGCAGCCATAGATTCTATCGTCATCGTAGTCGTCGCGTCACATTTCGGGATGACGATCAAGGAAGAATGAAGATGCGATGGCGTCCGAAAGGCCCCAAGCGCCTCGGTTCAAACCCCCGTGGGTCCCCAGTGTCCTTGTTCCCTTGTTGGCAACAAGGACACTGGGGACCCACGTGTTCCTTGATGCCAACGCGCTGAGGCAGATCAAGGTCACAAAAACGCTTGAAGTCTTTGCGGCCCCTCGAGGCTCACAAAGCTTCGAAGATCACCAGCGCGGTTCTTCTTAGATGCGCTCGGGGTCTTCGAATCTTTGTGATGCGCAGGGAATCACAAATATTTGCGGAATCTTTGTGGTTCGCAGGGGATCGCAAAGATTTGCAGAATCTTTGTGATTCGCAGGGAATCACAAAGATTCAAAGATCTCCAGCGCTGCATTTCGCGGCAATCTTTGTGACAGCCGAGGGCTTGATCACAAAGATTGTGTGGAAAGGCTGCGCTCGGAATCTTTGAATCTTTGTGATTCGCAGGGAATCGCAAATATTTGCGGCATCTTTGTGATTCGCAGGGGATCACAAAGACTTGCAGAATCTTTGTGATTCGCAGGGAATCACAAAGATTCAAAGATTCTCAGCGCTGCATGTCGTGGCAATCTTTGTGACAGCCGGGGCTTGATCACAAAGATTGCGTGGAAAGGCTGCGCTCGGGATTCAAAGACCCAGCCGAGACCTCGCAGCTCCCCGGGGAACTGCGAGCTGCGCATCCGCCGCCACTTTCGTGAGCTCAGTGGCGTGGAGGAGTACGCAGATCCAGCCGATACCTCGCAGCTCTCTGGGGGGGGGGCTACAAACAACTGCGCAACTATGGCCACTTTCGTGGGCTCCTGTGAGGCCCAGCGGGGAAGGGGAGCACGCAGATCCAGCCGAGATCTCGCGGCTCCCTGGGGGGCTGCGAGGCTGCGAGCTGCGCAGCGATCGCCACTTTCGTTGGCTCCTGGGAGGCCAACCAGAGTGGGAGGAATGCGCAGGTCCAGGACCTCGCGGCTCCCTGGGGGAGAGCTGCGAACTGCGGAACTGTCGCCATTTTCGTGGGCGTCTGGCAGGCCCAGCGGCATGGGAAGCACGCAGATCCAGCCGAGACCTCGCGGCTTCCTGGGGGGCTTCGAGCTGCGCGACTGTCGCCACTTTCGCAGGCACATGGGAAGCCCAGCGGAGTGGGGGAGTAAGCAGATCCAGCCGAGACCTCGCGGCCCACTGGGGGTCTGCGAACTGCGCATCTGTAGCCACTTTCGTTGGCTCCTGGGAGGCCCGGCAGAGTGGGGGCGTTATTTTGCCTGGAAGCGAAAGGCCAACCTCCAAATCCTGCCACTGCTGACCTTTCTCGCAAGCATCCATCCCAGAACGATAGCTGATGACAACGGGCTGCATCTTCGTCTCGACCATCTCGCTGAGCAGCGACAGGGCATGCTGCTACTGCTGACCTCTCTGCAAGCACGGATCCAAGCATTGTAGATGATGGTATGGACATCAATTTTCGTCTCGACTATCCAGCTGAGCAGCGACATGGCCCGCTGCCACTGCTGACCTTTCTCACATGCGCTGGTCCAAGCGTTGTAACTGATGGCAGTGGGCTCCAGCTTCGTCTCGACCATGACGCTAAGCAGCGACAGGGCCCGCTGCCACTGCTGACCTTTCTCGCAAGCGCTCATCCAAGCACTGGACTCCAGCTTTGTCTCGACCGTCTCGTCGAGCAGCGACAGAACAGAACAGAACGTCCGATCGAGCGTCCAAGGACGTCTCGTCCCGCTTGCGGGAACGGCGTGAATCATGCAGTGCGGGAAAAACCATGCACGGGTGAGAATCAAAAAGACACCCCTCAAGCCTCAAGGGTATTGCTACCCGGCGGTGTGCATGTATGACAAGTACTCAGTCCGAAATTCATCCGAACACCTGCCGTGCGCATTGTGCAACTCATGCTCCAGACTGGTGTTGAAACGATCTCGGAAGAACTTGTCGATTGAGTCAGTCCATTGGGTTCTCGGGCGGCCAACTCTGCGGGAGCCTTCTGGGCGCCAGCGCATGGCTAGAGACGGCCGCCCGCGCCTCTCGACGCACGTTCTCCTCAGGATGTTCCAGCGTGTTGTATCTATGACTTCGAGCCAGTCAGAAACCTTGTAAATCGACATTGCTCTTTCCACTCTGCGTTTGCATTGGTGCCCAGCTTCCTCCCACGATTCGTGATCACCTCTACGAAATCCAACAATCCGTCGTAACATTTGCGCCCGGGCGCTGGCTATTCTTCCTCTTTGCCGTGCGGTCAGCGGTGTCGTGGCAAGACTGTAGACAGCCGTTGGCGTTACGACGCTGTCGAATAACTGCAAGCGCATCTTCAGTGACACCCGCTTGTTGACGAAAACTGTCTTGAACAAGTGCCATTTTGACCATGCGCATTGCGTCCGGTATTCTAAATTACATGCGCCTCGTTCTCTGAGATCTCCGTGGAAACGCTTCCCCAAGTACTTGTGCATATCAGTTTTCAACATCACTGGAAGACTACAACCGTCACTTTGCAAAACCATTGGTTCCTCAAGAATGGCAATAGCAGGATCGTTCGTGAATATTCTGGTCTTGCTTGCATTCAGCTCTAGACCGCATTGAGACAACTCCTGACGGAGAACCGCGAGCATTTGGGAAACGTCGTCCGGAGAATTGCCGTAGAGAAGTATGTCGTCTGCGTAACGTATGTTGGTCAACATCTCGACTCCTCCAAGATCGAGCCCCATGCCGCGGACGCGGTCTTTGAATCGCCGCAAAGCATGCTCAAGACCAGCGTTGAAGAGAAGCGAACTCAAAACGTCTCCCTGCTTGACCCCCCGGCTGATGTCGAAATGCCTGCTGCCGTGGACGGTTCCGAACTGGCCAGAATACACATCAGACAGTAAACGAAGATATTCTGTATGAACACCTTGAGAACGAAGGGCTTCGAATAATGCTGGGTGCTCGATTCGATCAAACGCCTTGGTAAGGTCCACGCTGACAATCCAGAGGTTGCGGCCCCACTCCCAACATTGCCCACAAACTTCCTCAAGCGCGACAAATGCATCGCCCACCGATTTCCCTTGCCGGAAACCGACCTGATCCGCAGCCTGTTGAGCGTCAAGCGTTGGTTGGATGCGTGCGAAAACGAGTCTGGAAAAGATCTTGTACGTCATTTTGAGCAGAGCGATGGGCCTCCAATTCTTGACGTCCTTCCGTGGGCCGCTCTTCGGAAGCATCGTGAACAGAGTTTCTTTCCAGCTGGGTTCAAGAAGACCTGTTTGAAGCATATGGTTGAAACAACGCAGAAGACACTCCAGAAGCGCATCGCCGCCATGCAAAAACATCTCGAGGGTGATGCCGTTCTTGTCTGCGCACTTGCCCTTCTTCATCTTCCGCAGCGTAGCCTCCAGCTCGACCATTGTGAAAGGCTGGATGTTGTAAGGACCTTTATTGCAATATGTGCGAAGCCAATCTGCACGTGATTCCGGCGAGCCCGTTAAGAAGATGTGCTCCAGCGAACCCCGAAATTCATCTGCAACGATGGGGCATCGTCGGGAATTCTGCACAGGATGCATGTGGATTGCAAGGATGTGCCCGATGCCGGAAAACCTCTTGAGATGTTCAGACATTTTGTTGTCACAGTAGGTGCGCAAGTTCTTCCGGTGCAGCCTGCTGATCATCTTCGACAGACGAGAACGCTCATGCTTGTCGGAGGTACTGCGACGCCTAAGCCGTAAAGCCCGGGTTTCCGGATCTTTCCATGGATGTGGTGCAGCTTCGGCACAATCGCCTCGATCGCATGTCGCTTTGGATATTGCGGCCTCCACGTCGGAAAGGCACTTGACATAAGAAATGTTCAAATTCTGGCGGACGGCATCTTGAAATACATTGTCGCGCCCATCTGGGCCCAGCTGTGGTTTCCACCGCTTGGCCTTCTTGCGACGGGAGCCCGGAGCCCTTCTGTGTCCGTCAACCAGCAAGCTCGCCAACACAGCACGGTGATCAGGGCCCATGTCTAGATGGTTACTCGGTCGGCACTGCGAGTAAACCAAGCCGGAGTCCAGGAGTATAAAATCAATGCGTCGCTTCGCCCCAAGAGAAGAACAGAATGTCCATCGAGTGTTCACGGAGTCGTTGAACGCGTCCTCAACGTTGGCAGCAATCAATGAACTCTCATTTAGAAAATCTCCCAAAACCTCACCCCTGAGACCAACGTCAAATTGAGTGTTGAAGTCCCCTCCGATCACAACTTTGCGGCCCGTGCGCCGCGCCATGTCCATCTCTGTGGACAAGTGCTCGTAGCACGCGAGTAGCTCATCGTGGCCATGGCCAGCATGAGGCATGTACACACTGATTATCGTTAGCATCAAGCTCCCTACATTCACATCGGCAGCAAGTACTCTCCCTCCGTATGCGCGCGTGTCTGCGACAGAATCGGCATGCCTGCGGTGAAACACAATGGCTACTCCTGCAAACTTGTACTCGGACACAAAGCAGAGATAAAACGGTGCCCTCCTGACAAATCATGGTCAGATGACTGCGTCCTTGTTTCGGTCAAGCAGACAACGTCCCATTCAACATCAGCGAGCTCGCTCAGCAATTCGGCCTGCCTGTCGGTGGAGTTCACACGCGCGTTCTTTGTGAAAATATTGAATTCGTGTTGAGGGCGCTGTTGGTCCCCAGATCCATCGGTGAATTCTGAATTGATGACGTCGTTGGCGCTCGATCGGTGCTGTCCCTAAGACCTGGCTTGAGAATTGCCCTTGCC